CACCCACATTTTGTTGTTACAAGTGTTGTAGACGTGAAAATGCACAAGTGACAATGGCGTCATCAACATTTGTTTGTATGGGCCTAAAAGTACTCATAACTACAAACTGTTCCCTGCATGGCAGAGGCGGGCCAACTCTGGTCCTCCAGCTGTGATGAATCTACAAATCCCATGATGCATCTGTCCCTGGGAGTCATGCCTGTGGCTGTGAGAATCTTGCAATGCCTCATGGGATCTGTAGTTCCACAACAGCTGGAAGGCCAGAGTTTGCCCAGCCTTGCGGTATGCCACAGGCCAGGGGTAGGCAACCTCCAGCTGTGATGAAATTACAAATCCCATGATGCATCTGTCTCTGGGAGTCTGTGGCTGAGAATCTTGCAGTGCCTCATGGGATTTGTAGTTCCACAACAGCTGGAGACTCAAGAGTTTGCCCAGCCCTGATGTACACCATAGGCTCAGTTCACAGGATAAGGATCTTTATTTTCAGCCATGTGACTCATTTTTAGCTTCCAAAATAACCGTCACCTATCCTGGTGTGTTAGGCCTCATTCACACCAGTTGCCCATAGTGACCAATCAGCTTCCATCTTTCATTTTCAAACCTTAAATGAACAAGCTGAACAGAGAAGCTGATTGGTTGCCACGGGCAACTGCTTCAGATTCTGTCTGGTGCAGTTTTGATAAATTCTCCCCTCAGTATGTTTATAGGACATGCCTAAGGGCTAGCGCAGCCCTGTGTGATCCGTGGCGCACATCCCAGGGCCGCACAATCATGTGCAGCTGCACACAGTGGTTGCCGCGCGGCCCCATTGGGGTCAATGAGGTTAGATCTGCGCGGCAATCACAGAAAAAAGGTAAGTGTACCTTTTTTTTTTACGACACGTGGCTGTTTTAGCCACTATTGTGTTCGATTGCACGGGCGGAATTGTGGCGAGAAACTTAGCGAACCGCCTGGTGCAACTGGGGTGCCAGTAGAAAATAAAGACACTGCCAGCGTCATTGGTAGTGGTGGGCGACTCTGTGACCGCGCGGCAATCCACGCAGTATCGTACACAATTGCTGGCCGGTCACGGATTGCGCAGGTGTGAACCTGGCCTAAATGTGTAAAATGATTCTTAATGGTATCATTCAACCGCTGGGTTTAAGTAAGTTCAGTTACCTCAGAGGTGGGCAAGTTCATATGGAAATCAGTAGCCGGCCCGTCCAATCCAGGAGCCAGCTCCATTGACAAAATACAGAGAAAAGCTCAAAAGCCGTCATTCTTAAGCAGCATTGGGGACCTGGCTCCTGGGATTGGTCCAGCCCTGGTTTAGCTGCATGTAGACAGAATTCTGTGTGTCCGGAGTCCCATTACAAACGCTAAACACATCTAAACACACGTAAACACGGCTAAGCCGGTGTGAAGTCAGATACATGTTACCGCAGGAGAGCGTGATCTGGGAAGCAGAAAGTTGGCTAATACTTCCCAGATCATTTCTCCTGTGTTTAAATAACCCGGGAGGGGCCAACTCCGGCCCTCCAGCTGTGGTGGAACTACAAGTCCCATGGTGCATTGCAAGACTGACAGTTACAGGCACGACTTCCAGGGACATGTTGGGCGTTGTAGTTAAAGCACAGCTGGAGGGCCAGAGTTACCCACCCCTGACATAACATAAAGCGCATAACCTAAAGTGAATGTAGTCTTGGCTCCCCATACAATTGGATATGGCGTCTCCGGCACGTGTCTGGTGGTGTGAATGTAGTCCTGGCTCCCCATACAATTGGATATGGCGTCTCCGGCACGTGTCTGGTGGTGTGAATGTAGTCCTGGCTCCCCATACAATTGGATATGGCGTCTCCGGCACGTGTCTGGTGGTGTGAATGTAGTCCTGGCTCCCCATACAATTGGATATGGCGTCTCCGGCACGTGTCTGGTGGTGTGAATGTAGTCCTGGCTCCCCATACAATTGGATATGGCGTCTCCGGCACGTGTCTGGTGGTGTGAATGTAGTCCTGGCTCCCCATACAATTGGATATGGCGTCTCCGGCACGTGTCTGGTGGTGTGAATGTAGTCCTGGCTCCCCATACAATTGGATATGGCGTCTCCGGCACGTGTCTGGTGGTGTGAATGTAGTCCTGGCTCCCCATACAATTGGATATGGCGTCTCCGGCACGTGTCTGGTGGTGTGAATGTAGTCCTGGCTCCCCATACAATTGGATATGGCGTCTCCGGCACGTGTCTGGTGGTGTGAATGTAGTCCTGGCTCCCCATACAATTGGATATGGCGTCTCCGGCACGTGTCTGGTGGTGTGAATGTAGTCCTGGCTCCCCATACAATTGGATATGGCGTCTCCGGCACGTGTCTGGTGGTGTGAATGTAGTCCTGGCTCCCCATACAATTGGATATGGCGTCTCCGGCACGTGTCTGGTGGTGTGAATGTAGTCCTGGCTCCCCATACAATTGGATATGGCGTCTCCGGCACGTGTCTGGTGGTGTGAATGTAGTCCTGGCTCCCCATACAATTGGATATGGCGTCTCCGGCACGTGTCTGGTGGTGTGAATGTAGTCCTGGCTCCCCATACAATTGGATATGGCGTCTCCGGCACGTGTCTGGTGGTGTGAATGTAGTCCTGGCTCCCCATACAATTGGATATGGCGTCTCCGGCACGTGTCTGGTGGTGTGAATGTAGTCCTGGCTCCCCATACAATTGGATATGGCGTCTCCGGCACGTGTCTGGTGGTGTGAATGTAGTCCTGGCTCCCCATACAATTGGATATGGCGTCTCCGGCACGTGTCTGGTGGTGTGAATGTAGTCCTGGCTCCCCATACAATTGGATATGGCGTCTCCGGCACGTGTCTGGTGGTGTGAATGTAGTCCTGGCTCCCCATACAATTGGATATGGCGTCTCCGGCACGTGTCTGGTGGTGTGAATGTAGTCCTGGCTCCCCATACAATTGGATATGGCGTCTCCGGCACGTGTCTGGTGGTGTGAATGTAGTCCTGGCTCCCCATACAATTGGATATGGCGTCTCCGGCACGTGTCTGGTGGTGTGAATGTAGTCCTGGCTCCCCATACAATTGGATATGGCGTCTCCGGCACGTGTCTGGTGGTGTGAATGTAGTCCTGGCTCCCCATACAATTGGATATGGCGTCTCCGGCACGTGTCTGGTGGTGTGAATGTAGTCCTGGCTCCCCATACAATTGGATATGGCGTCTCCGGCACGTGTCTGGTGGTGTGAATGTAGTCCTGGCTCCCCATACAATTGGATATGGCGTCTCCGGCACGTGTCTGGTGGTGTGAATGTAGTCCTGGCTCCCCATACAATTGGATATGGCGTCTCCGGCACGTGTCTGGTGGTGTGAATGTAGTCCTGGCTCCCCATACAATTGGATATGGCGTCTCCGGCACGTGTCTGGTGGTGTGAATGTAGTCTTGGCTCCCCAGCAACTGCTCCAGACTCTGCTCCATGTTGATGAATTTCCCCCACTGTGCAGTACTGTGATATCTGTGTGTGGCGGGGACAGCAGTGCAGGTTATGGTGTGATCGGGCCCCGAACTGGACTCTGCTGAGGACAACTTTCTTTATTGACAATAAGGATCCTTATCCTGGTGAATTGGGCACACAGACCACAGCCGAGGACAACGACCCTACAGAGTCCATGAGGGGGGTGATCAGCACTGGAGCAGCTGCCCATGGCAACCAATCAGCTTCTCTCTTCAGTTTTAAAGCTTAACAAAAGAAACTGAAGAGAGACGCTGATTGGTTGCCATGGGCAACCGCTCCATTGTGATAAATTCCCCTCAATGAATGTGATGCATTGACATCTCCATCCTGCACATGTATGTGATGTGTTGTTATCCCCATCCTGTACATGGATCTTACATACTGTTATCCCCATCCTGTGCATGTATGTGATGTGTTGTTGTCCCCATCCTGTACATGGATCTTACATACTGTTATCCCCATCCTGTGCATGTATGTGATGTGTTGTTATCCCCATCCTGTACATGTATGTGATGTGTTGTTGTCCCCATCCTTTGCATGTATGTATTGTGTTGTTATCCCCATCCTCCGGCACATGTATGTATTGTGTTGTTATCCCCATCCTCCTGCACATGTATGTATTGTGCTGTTATCCCCATCCTCCTGCACATGTATGTATTGTGATGTTATCCCCATCCTCCTGCACATTGTGTTATTATCCCCATCCTCCTGCACATGTATGTATTGTGCTGTTATCCCCATCCTCCAGCACATGTATGTATTGTGCTGTTATCCTCATTCTCCTCCACATGTATGTATTGTGCTGTTAGCCTCATCCTCCTGCACATGTATGTATTGTGCTGTTATCCTCATCCTCCTGCACATTGTGCTGTTATCCTCATCCTCCTGCACATGTATGTATTGCGTTATCCCCATCCTCCTGCACATGTATGTATTGTGTTGTTATCCCCATCCTCCTGCACATGTATGTATTGTGTTGTTATCCCCATCCTCCTGCACATGTATGTATTGTGTTGTGCTGTTATCCTCATCCTCCTGCACATGTATGTATTGTGTTATCCCCATCCTCCTGCACATGTATGTGTTGTGTTGTTATCCCCATCCTCCTGCACTTGTATGTATTGTGTTATCCCCATCCTCCTGCACATGTATGTATTGTGTTGTGTTGTTATCCTCATCCTCCTGCACATGTATGTATTGTGTTGTTATCCCCATCCTCCTGCACATGTATTGTGCTGTTATCCTCATCCTTGCCCCCTTTTGTATGAAGGATATGATGCAGTCGGTGAGGATTATCACCCCCGGGGCTCTCACAGTCCTGGAATCCCGGATACATTCTGTCACCTCCCCCTCCTACTCCATGGACTTGTTGCTGCTCCAGGCCGGAGACTGCCATAGCCGCACATCCTCCCCTCCCCCACATCTGGGGCCTCTCCTCTCCGATCCGTCCCGATCAACAAGTGATGACCGGAGAGTCCCGGTGAGGAAGGGGGGAAGGGAAGGCACTTACCTCTCGAAGATGAATCGCAGCAGCAGGAAGACGAGGGCCAGCGGGATGGTGACATAGAGCTGCGAGGGGGACACGGCTCCGGTGCCCTCCGTGTTCTCCAGATCATCCCAGCTGTAGTTACACGGCAGCCAGATTCGATCCCACCAGAAGTATTCACTCAGAACATTCACCATCCTGCAATCAGAGAGCACAGTGAGACGATCGCTCCGCACACAGCCCTCCTCACACTGACTGACTGACTGACAACACTCCTCACCTCACCGCCAACACTCCTCTCCGCACACAGCCCTCCTCACACTGACTGACAACACTCCTCTCCGCACACAGCCGTCCTGTGACTGTCTGACTGACTCCTCACTACCACCGCCAACTCTCCTCAGACTGACACGGGGGAAGTGATTCATTCGCCTGCCTGCTCTCCGCACACAGCCGTCCTGTGACTGACTGATTCCGCACCTCCAACTCTCCTCACACAGCCGTCCTGTGACTGACTCCTCACCTCCAACACTCCTCTCCTTATACAGCCGTCCTGTGACTGACTGACTCCGCACCTCCAACTCTCCTCACACAGCCGTCCTGTGACTGACTGACTCCTCACCTCCAACACTCCTCTCCTCACACAGCCGTCCTGTGACTGGCAGGGGGAAGTGATTCATTAGTTTGCCCGCTCTCCTCTCAGATAACTTTTTTTGTTCAGTTTATTCAGCTGAGAGGGACAGAGATGGCAGAGGAAGGCAGGGATGGAGATGACACATCAACCTGTGTGCCTGACACTGACAGCTCTCTACAAAGGGAGCGGAACAGAGAGTGTACATATCAGTGTATAGGGGGGGTGTTATCAAAACTGGAGCAGAGAATCTGCTCCAATCAGCTTCTTTCATTTTCAAAGTTTAACTGAACAAACTGAAGAGAGATGCTGATTGGTTACCCTGGGCAACTGCTCCAGATGCTCTCTGCTCCAGTTTTGATAAACCTCTGGACGCTGAGCTCTGTACCCTGACCTCTGGACATTGACCTCTGGACATTGACCTCTGTACCCTGACCTCTGGACATTGACCTCTGTACCCTGACCTCTGGACATTGACCTCTGCGTCCTGAGCTCTGCACTTGACCTCTGTGCCCTGACCTCTGGACATTGACCTCTGCATCCTGAGCTCTGCACTTGACTGCTGTACCCTGACCTCTGGACGTTGACCTCTGTGCCCTGACCTCTGGACGCTTTAATGAGCAGTTAACCCTTTGCAATGCATTTCTATAGAGGATCACCTGCAGAGTGTCACATTGCTTCCTGTGCTTTGCGGTGACATTTGTTTAACAAATAAAAGGGAATTGGTAGACGAGGGAAATATCATCCAATTAAATTGTTGATTTTAATTTTTGTAGAAGCTGAAAGATTACATCAAAGGTTTACAAATGAACTCTTACAGTGGGGCTACCTCCGCACCGCAAGAGTTAAAACAGAACTATGGCCCAACATTTTTTTGTCCGTAATTCTCTTTAGAGTCACAGGAGGGCATATATTAATGTTCTCCTGTGACCCTAAGATCAGTATATAGCGGGCTATTGCCCCTATGTGCTAACCGCACAGAGCCACACTGCAGCCTGGATGGATCCCGACAATATTGTCAAGAGCCACCCCGCTGGCTGATTGACAGCTGGCTCTGCCTATCTAGAGGCAGAGCCATCTGTACCCGCCCCCTCCCTCGTCCGTTCCTCCAGTCAGCCCTGGAAGAACGGGGAGGGGGGAATCCCTGCGAGGAGCCATGACTGACAGTGGCTACAATCTGCAGGGAGAAGATCATGAACTGAGTGATCAGTGGTTTGTGATCGCTCAGCTCTCTGTGTATTTCACTCTCCCCATAATTCTCCTTTTAAGTGCTTGTTTTGGTCCATTATTATTATACAGGATTTATATAGCGCCAACAGTTTGTGCAGCGCTTTACAATATAAGGAAGACATTACAATTCAAGACAAGATGGTAAGGGGGCCCTACCCGTGAGGGCTTACAATCTAAAGGGAGGGGCAAGTGATACATGAGGAGGTAGCTGTGTGGGGATGAATTGTTTGCGAATGTGATGGTTGAGTGGTTAGGTTGAGGTGGGATAGGCTTCCCTGAAGAGATGAGTCTTTAGTGATCGCCTAAAGGCAGTCAATGTGGAAGGTAGACAGACAGGTTGGGGTAAAGAGTTCAAGAGGATGAAGAGACTCTAGAGAACTCCTGGAGGCGAGTCTAGGGGTTGGAATAAAGAAGATACTCTCCTGATCCTCGGCAGGGCTGCAACTATTCTCATTATCCATTAGTTGGTTGGATCCCCTAGCTCTCTCCTCCATGCTGGGAGGAGGGCACAGCAAGCAGTGGGCGAGTGCAATAGCTAACCTGCTATTGGCTATTGCAATTTTAAATGGCCAATAGCAGGCTGGCTATTGCACCAGTCCACTACCTGCTGTATTTACATTAAGCTGCGGTATCTTCCACTGGCAGCTGTCATTCCCGGGCTGAAGCTATTCAAGTGACATGTGCTTACTATACAATTATAACAAAAAAATTATAAAAGTGGGAAAAATTTATTTTCGGTTTCGGCCTGACAGGTTCTGCAGCGGGAGGTGTGTTGCAGCGCCATTCATTTCAGTGGCACCCCAAACACGCCTCCCACCCACAGTGTGATCGCCCGCACGGCAACGCATGCTACTGCAATGCTGTGCGTTCCAGTGCAGTATGATTGCAAAAAAGTGTGCATGCAGTTTTATTCTGAAGTAAACTTTATGTTTGTAACACTGCATGTGTGTATTTTAAATTAAGGATGGTATTTATTTAATTTTCTTTTATCCGATTAATCGAAAAAATAAGCGACCAGCTAATCGATTATGAAAATAATCATCAGTTGCAGCCCTAATCCTCGGCCCGTGGCAGTCGATGCAACTGCCACGGGCCGTGGATTAGGGCTGCTACTGATGATTATTTTCATACTCGATTAGTTGGTCGCTTATTTTTCTACCTCTGTTTTTACCTCTCTCCACCTCCGCTTTGGCTGTGGTATGTCCCATGGCATCCTCGCATCTAATGGACCTGCATTAGATGTGATGGCATCACAGATCCTTGGACCTCTGGAGCCCAGGGGAGGAGAGGCTACAGGGACCGGTCTAGCAGTCAGGTGGGATCAGGTGAGTATATCTTTTTCTATTTTACACCCTAGACCAAAATGAGCACTTAAAGTGATGGTAAAAGACAACTATGGCCCAACATTTTTCAGCCACATCGGCTATAGAGCCGCTGATCGGTTGTATGTGAAGCAGCCGTTAACGGCTGTAGTAACAAGCGGGTCTTTCCTGCGCGTGCGCTAGGGGGGCGCGCGCGAGCAGGAAAAAAATGCCGTCTGGCGACGGCAACCCGCAGATAGGAGTCAGCCGTCCGTCCGTTTTTTCTTAACGGGCGGACAGCAAGAGGTTAAGGATCACAGGAGGACATATTCTATGTCCTCCTGTGACCAAAAACTCAGCATATATAGCGAGCTATTGCCCACTATATGCTGACAGAGCAGAGTCACACCGCAGCCAGGACGGATCTCAACAATATTGCCCCGCTGGCTGATTGACAGCTGGCTCCTCCTCTCTACAGGCAGAGCCAGCTGTGCCCGCCCCCTCTCTTGTCTGTCCCCCCAGTCAGTGCTGTAGGAAAGGAGGGGGGAGCAGTGACTGACAGTCATCGATCTCTGCCGGTAGAAGATCGGGACATGAGCAATCAGCGCTTTGTGATCACTCAGTTCCCGATCTATAGAGGTAACATGTGACAGCTGCAGTGTCACGCATTGGCTCTAATTATGCTGAACAGTATTTCACTCTCCCCATAATTCTCCTTTAATGTCAAAAGGGATTGTAAGCTATTTCAAATGCTGATAAAATCACTCACAATGGACGCTGCTTCTTGATGTTTAAAAGTTTTTGTTTCCTGCAGAATGAGCTGATCGCCTGAGCACTGGCCCTGACTTGCTGTTTTAGAGTGACTCCTTTCTCAAGCAGAGTGCTATGTAGTCACCCTTGTGTGTGCTAGTAAGCTGTGTTTTTCACACAGACATAGCAAATCAAGCTACTTCCCTCCCCCCTGGCCCCCTCTCCTCCCTTCCCCAAGCTAGTACATGAGCAGTTGCTGGAGTCTGCCCTGTCCTTTGTGATCTTGTACTAGACAGGATGTTCAGGGAAGCTGAGCTGAGAGACTTGGAAGCAGCTGTTCAGAAACATGATGATTGTAAGTGTTTGGACAAGAATGTAAAGCAATGCTTTGCTGGACAATGTATATTTGTCTGATCTGGAAGTTTGAGAGTTTAATATTACTTTAACCCTTGCAGTCCCGGGTCCACTTCCAGGGTTAATTTTTAAAACGCCCAGATTTCTTCTTTAAAGATCATTCACCAGTCTGAAGGTGCCAAGAGCAGAATGAGGGTTATCTCATACTTTATCGGGTGATGCCTGCACAGCTCAGGTGACAAGGCAACACAAATAAATCAATGTGATGACACTTCTGTGGAAGAATGGAGAGTGCTATCAAACATTTCCATTTCATGTTCATCTCTTCTTAATCTCCACGCCTGGGTGTTGCTATCCGGCCACTAAGAGAACGCTCTACTCCTGAAAGCATTTGAACAGCTTTTATACTTTGTGAAAGTACTGCACGTGAACAATAATATTCACAACCTCTAATGCAGGGGTGGGAAACCTTTCCACTGCCAAGGGCCATTTGGATATTTATAACATCATTCGCGGGCCATACAAAATGATCAACTACAAACTAGCCTGTTATATTTGGTCAAACATTTAATTAACTCCCCCCTAATGTGATGGCTGGAACTACTTCTCTTTGGTCACATTGTATCCCCCTCATGTTCTGGTCACATTGCATCCCCCTTCATGTTCTGGTCACATTGCATCCCCGTTCATGTTCTGGTCACATTGTATCCCCCTTCATGTTCTGGTCACATTGTATCCCCCATCATATTCTGGTCACATTGTATCCCCCATCATGTTCTGGTCACATTGTATCCCTCTTCATGTTCTGCTATCATTGTATCCCCCTCATGTTACGGTTGTTGAAAATACAACAGCCTTTACTAATGTACTGTTATGTCTTTTGGGCACTAGATGGCTCTGTGGTGCTTTGTTGGTTTCTATGATGATGTATG